CTGAAATGTCGGTTGACAGCGAAGTTGAAAAGATCTCGACATTATTCTTATTTAAAAAGCAAGGCTACGCACCTCGGGAAGGGAAGTCTCGTTGCATGCGAATCTTCGCTCCAAATTCATTTGAGTATTTCATCATCTCATAGGTATCACCTTATAATATACTGGTTCCATAAACTAACCTCTTGGAAAGAATTCCGTGGGAAGCATAAGAGAAGTACCTTGTCGGTCTTTGGGCGTACCAGTCAACTGGTGCAGAGCGGCCCCGCCATCAGTCAGCGCGGCGGCGGGCGGTCCCACCGTCTCCCATCACAATTCGAAGCGACCGAAACTTTCGGGGTGGGATGACCAAGCATCACTCCAGGGTGTATTTAAGCCGGTGAAAAATCGCCAAACTCATCAGTCCACCCCGGATAACTCTTTCAGCAATGCTCTCCAATAAATCAGTTTCATATGGCTCCCTCAGTCATCGTCATCGGCGCGAGCGGTGCAGTCGGTCGCCCACTCATGGCGGAGTTCCTCGCCCAAAAGTCGAACTTTGGGCGCATCGCCGTCCTCTCCGACCCAGCCAAATTGCCCGATTCTCTGGAATCCAGGCGAGAGGGATCGAGATCGTCGTAGGATCGTTCCTCGAGGCCAAATCCTACGCCGGTGAGCCAACTCACTACACCCACAGAGATTATATTACAAACCCTGACGCCGGAGCAGGCTTCGATGTCGTGATCTCGCTCGCAGGAAACGCCGCTCTGAAGCTGCAGCCGGGGATGGTCGAGGCCGCCATCGCGGGCGGCGCGCGGCACTTCATCTCATCCGAGTTTGGTGCAGACATTGCGCAGAACGGCATCTGGAAGAACAGGTACTTCCGAGAAAAGGTCGTTACACGCGACCATCTGCGCGCGTGCCAAGGATACCCGAGGCTTCCGCTACACGCTTGTCCTGTCGGGCGCGGTGGCGGAGTACACCGTGTCTGAATTCAACGGCGTGGACGTCGAGAAACACGTAGCGCGCACGTACTGCTATCCGGAAGCGCGCCTGCATGTTACCGCCACGCACGAGTGCGTCCGCGTTCTCACCGCAAGATGGAGAATAAAAACTTACAATGACTCCATATTGTGGCCAAGTTCATCGTGGGGGGCGGTGGTGCTTCCATTCGACAACCCCAGCGAGCCGAGCCGATGTGCGAGTTGTGTGTCTCGGGCGATTGCCTGACGTGCAAGGCGCTCAGGGCGCTCCTGGAGGAGGTGCAGGGCGCGAAGTACGAGATCAAGTACCTCGATCCTGCGCTGGCGGCGGAAAAGCAGAAGGTCGCGCGCGCGGCGGGCGACTCGGAAGGCGAGCTGCTGTGGTCTGCCTGCCTCACGATGGCAAACGGGTATGCATTGCTCCCTGAGCCGTCTGACAAACATCGCTTCGCGTTCAAGCCGGAGACTGCGAAGGAAACATTGAACAGGATGTTTGGGAAGAAGTGAGGACGTAGCTACTAGATTAATACTGTGGTCACTGCTTTCCCGTGTTCGACTATAGTACTGAAGATATTGTCCGAGATCGATGCCTCCCCCGATGGTAGAATGCAACAAATATGTCTCATTTTGTGAGGATTGTCGCCGAGGGTGGGCGATGGGACGTTTGAACCTCAGCACAAGGTCTAAAGCTCACCATGACACATAGTTTGACACCCACTCTAGTATCTAAATATCCCTCTGGAAATAACATGCGACCGATGTGCCGCCCGCGGGAGGATTTCTTTATCGCCCACGAACGCCGGCGGGATTGCCACGGAGGGCGTCGGCACATAGACAGTCCTACGATGAAGTGGAGTCTGGTTTGATTTGGATCCGCCCATCAAGGGCGGAGCGGCGGGAGCTGGAACAGCGTCGGACTGAAATATAACCGAGACAAAATCAGTAGGATGGTCGGGGTTCAAGACGTCCGGATGGTCGGAGAATTGCTGCGCCGCGTCTGGATCAAGGGAAAGGAGCCGCTCAAGCACAGTGCTATGACCAAACCGTCAATCTTGCGGGACAATGTGAAGGGAATGACACACATAAACAGCCCTGACGACGGCCAGCTGCGGACTCGTGAGCAGAACACGTAATAAGAGCATCAATCGGGGCGTACCGCTTCTCCTGAGTTTTGAGAATGTCGACAGTTGCGAAGACAAGCGCGAGATCGTCCCGGGATTGCGCGGTGACGGAGGGTTACTCCATTCATTCATTATCAGTATCATGGCCGCCGTAAAGACGGGGCTCTGCGCGATCGTGAGCAGCCAGCAACAGGAAATGCATTTTGATATGCACCTGACTGAACAGCAACGGGTTATTAGGGCGCCTGCGGTGGGTGTCCGCCACAAGGATACATGCACGCGCAGCCGCGGCGCAGATGCCCAGTGCCTGAGGGTCCTGCAGGCGGGAAGCGTCAAACGACCCATGGCCACAGGCAATGAAATAGAAGGAGGTTAGGCTCACCGACTGCACCATGGAGGATACACCAGGAATGAAAGGCCGGTGGATGAGCATCCGCGTGTAGTAGTATAAACATTGCAACACCGCGGATTGCTCGAAGAACAACGTGTCGGGGCGATCGGAGGGCCAGATGACTAAGAAGAGGATAAATAGAAATATGGGAATGGTGAGGCGTACGGACGAGGTCCGGCGCACGGTGGTCTGGTATGGAGCTGAACCACTTGGCCAGCACGGAGTCGAGTTCCACGGCGAGATTAGGCATCAGGTTGACTCGTCTCGCTCTAATGTGGTTCGCCCTGGTACTGATATGGAACGCACATCAGTCGTCATATGCATATAGTGGGGTGAGGAGCACAAATGGACCCACGAGAGTGCGTAGCAGATAATGCAGAATGTGGTACAAGCTGAGCTAGCAGTTGAAAACGATGTTGTAGATGGTTTATTGCGCGGCTGAATACCGGGGCCCGAGCGGCGCTAATATTCATCGTCACACTCGCACGGCATGGTGAGGTCCGTTCTGTTCGGATATTGTTATCCATCGGCGGGAGGGTATTTAGCATGCATGTACGTACTCGACGGGATCGAGCATCGCGGATCGCCCGGTGGAGTCACTCAATTGGATGTCCAAGAATGCGAGAATCCTGGGCGATGCATGAGTTGACTGGAGGAACGGAGAATATTTGGCTCACCAGAACGCGCGCTTCTAGAGTTCCTCGGCGACAGTGCTCGTCCGCGCCTTGAACCTATGGCGATGCAGGCCAAGATCCTGCGCCAGCCGCAATCCAAAACCAGCGATGAGCTCGAACGGGACATTGAGCTCGTGCAGGACCGTGGCGACGCGGCGCGTGCAGGTCGCGATCTTGCCGCCGTATAGTTTGAGAATAGCCATGTTGTGAGACTGAGGATTGTGGGGGCTGGATCGAAGGAGTGAAGCTCCGCTTTTAAACCCGCGGATTACGCGGCGGGTAGTATGTCAATGAGTTTAGTCATCTGACCCCTAACTTATAACAACTTTAAATTCCCCTGGTGATATAGATCAACAGCTCTGGAGAGACACACGGAACGTACTTATTACTACTTTTTTAATGTAGATCTGCACGTTGCCTGCACGACTCAAAGCCTGCTACACCAACCCGACAATATTGTCGCTAGCACCGTCCTTCCAGCGTCACAATTCGGAGTCCAGGGCGAACCTGCTTCCCAATAACGTATAAACGAGGGAGTAAAATGCGCGCTGGTGGTGTCAGGGACACAAATGTCGCGAATTCCGGGCGGATCTGGGTGTTCGACTCCCCGCAGTGCATTCGAATTTGATTCTGTAAATTTTTTTTTTGCCCCGGTTTCTGTGGTGGTGAATATGAGCTACATATAATACCGCGAGACCTTGGGTTAGCGGCACTCAAAGCCCGAACTAGTTAAACCTTGCGAGCCTAAGAGGCTTGCAGCTCTGGAGACGCTTCCTAGGTACAAGATGAATATATGAATGCACGCACAAGAAGGTCGAGGGCAGGAAATAAGACGTGTCAGTGGTGTTCGGAACACGCCGTCATCGTGTATAACGCGAAAATATGTCGGATGACAGGTCGTACAGGGCTCGACTCCCCGCTGGTGCATGGATACTGTTCCACGACTGCCTTTTCCGTGGTTTGCGTTTCTGTTTTGGGGGCTTTTGATACCCACGAATCTACTACCAAATATCATTCAAAAAATCCAAATGAGATGCGAATCCGAATGTCTAGAAAAGTGCGCACCGGCAGTGTTCGGAACACGCCGCCATCCTGTATAACGCGAAAATATGTCGGATGACAGGTCGTACAGGGCTCGACTCCCCGCTGGTGCATGGATACTGTTCCACGACTGCCTTTTCCGTGGTTTGCGTTTCTGTTTTGGGGGCTTTTGTGCTTGAAGGTGGGGAAGATGGATTCAGATCTGTTGCCCGCCACGGCTTAGGATGCGTTTTTGACTCGGAGATGGGGAGGAGAGTCGGATTTGAATGAGACTCGGACGACACGCAGCGAGGCTGAGGGTCGGGCACAACAAGTCCAACGCGCTCGCAGCCGAAGCCGGTTAGAAAACCAACCATAAGATATCCCAGATTGAGAAGGTAAGATAATCTCTTTCTCGGTGATGTAGAATAGATTCGTGTCCATCTGCCTGCTGCCAGATATCATAGAGAATTGGATACGAATCCGAATGGTAGGAGTATGCACCGGTGGTGTTCGGAACACACCGCCATCGTGTATGAAAGCGATCAAAATAGCAGGCGGTACGGGGATCGACTCCCCTCCGGTGCATACTTAGTTGCGGAATCTTTGTCTGTCTTTTCAAATTATTCAATCGTTTTGACAGTAACTCACTGTAAAGGGCGATTTGTTCGCGGTTTTTGTGGATATTTCGGCTGCCTGTCGTAGAGTGGACGAGCTCACTCGGTTGTGTAGGATTGAGAAACCTGCTTCATAAACCTCATACCCACAAATCAGCCTGCTGCCATAGATCATCCAAATGATCGAATGAGACGCGAATTCGAATGACTAGGAGTACGCATCGGTGGTGTCTGGGACACGCCGCCATCACGCAGGGAAAAAATGAAATAAAGCAGGGGGTACGGGGTTCGACTCCCCGCCGGTGCATGGGTAGGCTACTTTGGTCTCTTCTTTTTTGAAGAAATCTAGAGTGTGAGAGGCCAGTTCAGTTCGCCGTTACTTCAGATCGAGGAAAGCCCATCATAAATTTTAAACTCACACCCACGAATCTGTGGCCAAAGATCATCCAAAAATACGAATCCGAATCAGTAGGAGTACACACCGGTGGCGTTCGGAACACGCCTCCATCGCCATCGTATATGAAAGTAAGGCCTGACAGACGGTATGGGGTTCGACTCCCCGCTGGTGCATAGGCCGATACTTGTCAATTTCTTTTTCTCTTAAAAATAATTACTGCTGTTGGGCGATTTCCTTTCAGTGGACGAGCTCACTCGGTTGTCTGGGATGGAGGAACTTGTGCATTATAAATTCGTACCCAAGAATCTGCCACCAAAGATCATCCAAATATGTGAATCTGAATAAAGAAGTAGGCACCGGTGGTGGAGCTTAGGTGGTGCAACCCGAAAGAGCAAGCAACAAAAAGAAAAATAGGTGCGGCGGAGGGTGCAGCGGGAGGAGCGTGGAGATCAATATTTTCCCAAATGGGGCACACGACTAATTAATGACTACAATCTGTGCGGCGGATGAACCCTCTTAGGTATCCTTTCCACCTACAGAGAAGGGGGCCTAAGAGGGCTGTTATGGCATGACAGCGGTGCTGTCTGAGTTGAACGTGTACACATGGGCGCTAGTCACAAAGGATGAGGAATCCAGGGGCCGTGATTCTCTCCAGGCGCGTATTCCCAGCAGTGGCCGCTGCAGGGCCGAGTTCAATGGGAGTCAATGAAGGATACCTCGGGATCCACAGGCAGGACCATATCTGATGTGTTACGGCACGGCGTAATTGGAGCTGTAAAGCAGTGGCATCAACTAATTGACAGCTCGGGTGCTGTGAAGTAATTATAGAGTTCCTTCTGGAATCGCACTGACATCGTGCCCCGCATGGCCATCCCATTTTTTACACCGGAAGTGCAGAATGGTGCTGGAATGGACCGCTTTCATCAAAGATGCCCGGTGCATTCCCGAAGCCCGGCATGCACAGATCTGGTGTCCCTATCCTGGGAGCGATCCCTCCTTATGTATATCCTCGATTGACGCGATACAGTGGAAGGCCAAAAAATGTAGTTCAGCTTTCGAGATACTCTGGGTAACAACAGCATACACCGATCAATTCATCCAGCAACAGCATCACAATCATTGACTGATGCCCTACGCACCCAAGTGTCAAATGCTCTGATTTTGCATCACAGCCGCTCTGAGGCAGTGTGTGTGCCTCGTGGTGTATGCTATATAGGCGACTGTGTCGTGGCTGGCATTTGACAACACCTATCATGTCGAGAATGTGAGTCTACATGTTTTCCCCTACTGCAACTAACGAGTAATAATTATCCATCAGCATCCATCTCCACAGTAACTCCCTATGTATGCCTGGCAGAATATTGTGCTGATCATCAATGGCTTTTAGATATTGATGTTACATCGCCTGTCAATGAACATCCCGATCTTCCAACAAACATGCAAATGTTTGCTCAGCTCATAGTGGACAAAACTATCGTCCAGCAAACAACACCAGTAGATGGGGTGCATACCCAGGATTCTACGACTTGGAAATTGAAGTTTGACTCTGACATGTGCGTGTCCTTTTTCAACTGAATCATCCCGCAGCTGATTTTCTCTGATAGCTCACCAAATGCACCCACTTTCTGTTTAGCAATCATGCGCAAAGCTCAAGGCAATCGGCTTATCGGCTCCGCCGAGATTCCATATGGTGAAGGTCTTTCTTCTGGGGAAGAGCGAAAATGTCTGTCCACTATCCACTCAGGGAATCACTGATACCAACAACTGTGTAGCCTTCTGCTTGCCCCTTGTGAAAGTGAACACTGATGGCCCTTTGCTCAACTTGACTGCAGCTTTCTCAATCACGACCTCGACTTCAGTGCCTAGGAGTAATGGTCCCGGAATTCAATGTAGGAAACATGTTAACTGGATATGTGAAAATGTCTCCTGAGATTTCCACAGTTGGTTCTTTGAACATCCCCACAGTGGTTATGCATTTGAGGCAGATGTCTAATGACACATATGACGGAAATCTGCTGGATCCCCAGGAGCTCTGGATAATGCATGAAAGGCTCCTGCTCCTGTCTCCTTTCAGTGAAATCCAGGGCAAACTTCTGAAGATACTGGGTGACCTCTGTTTACAGCAGTGGAAGGTGTCTCATATAATAGACACACTGAACCAGGCAGTGTGGGCCTATGGTGATGCAGTGCGGGATGGTCTAACAGATGCAAGTTCTCTACATGGTCTGGGTCTTGGGTTACTACATCGCAGCGAAGAACTTGGTGGTGTTGCTGACATCAACAAGTGTGTCCAGGTGATGCAGGAGGCTGTGCAGCTGACTCCAGATGGTGACCCAGACATGCCAGCTAGGTTGAATGATCTTGGAAATTCCCTCCTCACACGGTTTGAGTGGTTTGGTGACTTGGACGATCTCAACAAGTCAGTGTTGAGGGGAGAGGATGCTGTCTGCCTAACTCCAGATGGCCACCCAGACAAGCCAGCTATGTTGAACAATCTTGGAAATTTCCTCCTCACACGGTTTGAGTGGCTCGGTGACTTGGACGATCTCAACAAGTCAGTGTCAATCAGAGAGGATGCTGTTCGCCTGACTCCAGATGGCCACCCAGACAAGCCAGGCATGTTGAACAATCTTGGAGGCTCCCTCTTTCGTCGGTTTGAGCGGCACAGTGATTTGGATGATCTCAACAAGTCAGTGTCAATCAGAGAGGATGCTGTCCAGCTGACTCCAGATGGCCATCCAGACAAGCCATCCAGGTTGAACAATCTTGGGAGCTCTCTCCTCATGCGGTTTGAGCAGCTCGGTGATTTGGATGATCTCAACAAGTCAGTGTCAATCAGAGAGGATGCTGTCTGCCTGACTCCAAATGGCCACCCAGACAAGCCAGCCATGTTGAACAATCTTGGGAACTCCCTCCTCGCACGGTTTAAGCGGTTTGGTGACTTGGATGATCTCAACAAGTCAGTGTTGAGGGGAGAGGATGCTGTCTGCATGACTCCAGATGGCCACCCAGACAAGCCATCCAGGTTGAACAATCTTGGAAAATTCCTCTTCACACGGTTTGAGCAGCTCGGTGACTTGGATGATCTCAACAAGTCAGTGTCAATCAGAGAGGATGCTCTCTGCCTGACTCCAGATGGCCACCCAGACAAGCCAGCCATATTGGACTATCTTGGAGGCTCCCTTATTCGTCGGTATGAGCGGCTTGGTGACTTGGAAGATCTCCACAAGTCAGTGTTAAGGGGAGAGGATGCTGTCTGTATGACTCCAGATGGCCACACAGACAAGCCAGCCATGTTGAACAATCTTGGGAACTCCCTCCTCACACGGTTTGAGCGTCTTGGTGACTTGGATGATCTCAACAAGTCAGTGTTGAGGGGAGAGGATGCTGTCCACCTGACTCCAGATGGCCACCCAAACATACCATCATGGTTGAACAATCTTGGAGGCTCCCTTTTTCGTCGGTTTGAGCAGCTTGGTGACTTGGATGATCTCAACAAGTCAGTTTCAATCAGAGAGGATGCTGTCCGCCTGACTCCAGATGGCCACCCAGATAAGCCAGGCATGTTGAACAATCTTGGAGGCTCCCTTATTCGTCGGTTTGAGCGGCTCGGTGACTTAGATGATCTCAACAAGTCAGTGTCAATCAGAGAGGATGCTGTCCGACTGACTCCAGATGGGCACCCAGACATGCCATGCAGGCTGAACAATCTTGGAGGCTCCCTTTTTCGTCGGTTTGAGCAGCTCGGTGATTTAGATGATCTCAACATGTCAGTGTTGAGGGGAGAGGATGCTGTCCACCTGACTCCAGATGGCCACCCAGACATGCCATCATGGTTGAACAATCTTGGGAGCTCCCTCCTCATGCGGTTTGAGCAGCTTGGTGACTTGGATGATCTCAACAAGTCAGTGTTGAGGGGAGAGGATGCTGTCCACCTGACTCCAAATGGCCATCCAGACAAGCCAGCCATGTTGAACAATCTTGGAAACTCCCTCCTTAAACATTTTGACTGGCTCAATGATCATACCACTCTGCAGAAGGCAATATCTGTTTATGCTTTAGCTGCCTGTTCTACTACAGGTCCTGCCCATATCCGATTTGATGCTGCCTCAAAGTGGGCAAAATACGCAAAAATCGGACAAAACTCATCACCAATGGATGCTTACCATGTGGCCCTTGACCTACTGCCAGAGCTTGCGTGGCTTGGCCTATCCATTGTTGATCGGCATCACCACCTTTTGAAGGCTGGTGAGGTGGTCAGAGATGGGGCTGCAGTTGCCATTGCCTCTGATCAGCCTGAGAAGGCGGTGGAATGGCTGGAGCAGGGCCGTTCTGTCATATGGGGACAGTTTCTCAACCTCCGTTCACCAGTGGATGCCCTCAAACATAGCCACCCCAAACTTGCTCACCGGCTTGTCTCCCTTTCTGCCCAGTTGGAGGGGTCTGCAACTAGGACAACCATGGAATCAATCCAATCTGGCCCCCAGCCTTCACTCGAGTCAGTTGCAAATCGTGCTCACCGCAACTCTCACGAGCGAGGAATGCTCCTAAAAGAGATTCGACAGTTGGAGGGCTTTGAAAGGTTCTTATTGCCCAAGAACATTTCCGAGCTTTCCGCAGCAGCACAAGAGGGGCCTGTTGTCATTCTGAATATTTCCAATGACCAATGTGATGCTCTGATACTTGTACCCGGGCTTCATGATGAGGTCATGCATATCCCTCTCAGTGACTTTAAGCCTGAATCTGCTGGGAGCATGGCACAATCCCTCCGGGATCTCGTGGGACGGAGTGAAAGATTGGTCATGACACGGGAAGGACAAAAGAATCCCGAAGATGCATTTGCACTTAATCTTTCTCAGCTATGGAACCAAGTTGTTAAGCCTGTCCTCGATGCACTTGCTATTACAGTG